TATATGTTTTTTGGTTTAGGGACTATCATCAAGGGATTATATTCAATATTTTAAAAATACTTTATATTTCTAAATTTTCAAAATTGTGGGGAAAAATATTGTTTGGATGTTCCTTATAGAAGTTTATTTTATATGATCTCAGTTTCTAAAATATGGTTGTTATTAAAATTTCATTTTAAAGACATGTTTTGATTAGCTTTATAGTACATGTACAGCAAATAGTTATACTCAGCTTACTAGATTTCAACTACTGTTTTTATAATGAAATTCCTAATTAATTCTTAAGATCTTGGAGTTTTCTCATTGTGTTAAACTGGTGTTGTATAACATAAAGGAAAATCTAACGTTAACCTGGCATTTAGATAACTGTATTATTTTATAAAACCTTCTCCTTTAAAACTTTTGTCACAGCTTCTTGAAGTGTCCTTTCATTGAGTTTTCTTCCAATTAATTGTCCAAGTTTTATGTTTATTGGTGTTTTGTTTTCATTTTAATCTGTGAATATTTACATTTTTTTCTGTTTTTCTGGAATCACTTATCTTTGTATTACTGTATTTTTAAATTTTTTTCTGTGTCTGAGAATGTTCTAAAATGTATCATTTCATACTGATGATTTAATTAATCATAAATGTAATCAAATTCATTTGTAATCATCAGTGCCTCTGATGTGACTTAATTCTCTTATTAGATTTTTAGTTCTTTCACTCCCCCTCTGTTCCTCGTGGTTCTTCCCTTTTCCCTCATAGGGTAGGGCTACCTTAATATCTTTGTACTCATGAGATATATCACTTTCACAAGTCTGTTTGAGTTTTCAAGTTTATATTCTCTTTAACTTGATCTTTATGAAAATTATAGTGTTTTTTATTGAATGAAATAATGTAAGTAAATCATACATGATTTAGAAATAATGGTTTATCCCTCTTTGGCTAAGTATTACCTAACTATACCCAACTGCCAAAACAACAATAATCTTCACCACGGTCCATTGAGTCCCTTTCCATTTGCTTCTCATGCCTTATTCTGCCCTCCTTGTAACCTGAATTTTACAGTCAGATTTCCAGAGCTTATTTGATTTACTTTTAACTGTTTCTTTGTTTTGTTTCTTTATATTCCACAAATATGAAATCATCTAGCATTTGTCTTTCTCTTTCTGACTTATTTCACTCAGCATAATCCCTTCTAGTTCAATCCATGTTGTTTTAAATGGCAAGATTTCATCTTTATTTTTATTTAATTGTGGTAGATGTATTTTATTTTTTTTATCCATTCATGTATTATTTGGCACCTACTTGTCTGCATAGCTTGGTTGTTGTTCTAATAAACACAGAAGTGCAGATATTCCTTCAAATTAGTATTTTTGTATTTGTAGTGTAGATAGGTAGAAGTGAAATGGCTTGATTATACAACAGAACTATTTTTAATATTTTGAGAAACATTCATACTGGCTCTTCGTGGAGGCTGGACCAGTCTACATTGCAACAGTGTACAGGGTATCTCTTTCTGCCAGCATTTGTTGTTTCTGGTCTTTTGGAGATAGACCATTCTCAATCTTGTGAGGTGGTATGTTATTACAGCTTTGATTTACAGTTCCTTGATGATTAATTAATCTATTAATAGTGCATGTATTGATGGGAACAAAAACAAAAATTTCTAGACTCTGCAACCTTGACCACCATCTTCAGGCTCTTCATTCATAAATGTTACAACTGGAGTACTGGAAGAGCCTTTGAAGTCTTCCCATCTAGTCCTTTGCCGTTTCATATGTGAAATGAAAACCTAGAACAGCAGCTTGCTAGAGTTCACAGTGAGTGATCTGAGCAAAGAAAACCCAAGATTCCAACAAGTTTTGTTTGTCAGGCAAGTTACTTGTTTGCCTTACTGGGAGTGAACCACTGAAAAAACAAAATTCGGCATTTCCCCATACTGTTCACTGTAAAATGCCCTTTTGATTTCTTGCTATTCTTCAGATAGAACCAGAAGTACTCATTTTATTTGTTGTAATATTTTGTAGCACATAACATTTTCACCTGAGGAGTGGAGTTGGGGTAATATTGGAGTTTTTCACATCATGCTTTCTTAGTCCTAACTTTATAAGTCATTATCCAACACCAGTCACTGTGGGGAGGTGGAAGGCAGGAAACAGCTTTACATGAGTTGTCTCATTTGATGGAATAAGACAAGTTATAATCTATAAGGAACTGCATTTTAAAGGTAAAGAAAATGAAGGTAAGAAAGATTAAGTAATTTTCTGAGGCCACATAGTTAAGCTGAATTCAAAACATCTAACTTGACTACTTTTCACATTTCACACATGGTAGAAAGAACAAGAAATTGATCTTCCTGTCATTAGCAATTGTAGATACTCCAAAAATCCCTAGGCACGCAAATATGTTGAATGCTCTAGCATGTTCACATTGAAGTATAAGATCTGTGTAGAAAATAATTTCCAATAGCAGTGTATCTATAAAGAATGCATACACAAATATCTTTTTATTTGTGTATTGAAGTATGTATCCACACCTCAAGTCTAAGTAATTTGCTCTTTTTAGTTGGTTACTTCATAATGGTGAGGGAGATTAGCACTAATATTTCTTAGAAGGAAAAAGAGTTTTCTTTACAGCTTCTGCTGTGCACGTAGCAAATATTTAATGCCTGTTTTATTCATTCCTGCTTTCTAAGGAAAATGCAGCTGGATCAGGAACTGAAAGATCCAGGTTCTAGTCTTGGTTTTAATACTGATGCACCATGAGAACTAGACTTGATCAGTTATCTTTTGAGTTTTCCGTATCTAAATGAAGTCCAGTGCATAAGGCTCTGTGGTTCTGTGATAGCATGTCCAGCATGTGGTCCACAATTGGAGAGTCCAATTGAGCATGAGTATGACAGACTGGGTGCCTGACAGTGTCTGTTCTGACAGATACACCCTAGTGAGGGGCTCTGGGTGAGCACAGTGAGATAGAAGGAAGTTACTGTGAATTGGGAGCAGCACTTGCCAGCTGCATTGGTGCTTTGAGCATCCGCTAAAGGCAGGTAAGTTAAGCACATGCCACTCGGGCTATGGAGAGAAACTGAGAGATCCAGGCTTGCTGTTTGAGCCTCATAAAAGAGTAACAGCCACACAGAGGGTGCTTGCCCTCTAGAAATTGTTAAGAATATAGAAGGTGGGAACCAGTGAGGGTGACAGGAGCAAGAGCCACAGGGACAAGAATGCAGATCTGAAAGTGGGAGAGTTAGACAAGCAATGTGAATGCACCAAACCCAGATTTGAAAGCTGGAGAACTGAGCATCCAGGAAGGAGCATTTTGCTAGGAGCTTGGAGGTTGTCAGTGTCTGGGCTTCCTTCATTGGTATCTAAGAGTGTGTTCAATCAACCTGTCTTTGATACTAACTGCTTTCCCTCACCACCCTTCAATAGGGCTGGTATCTCTGTTAGCCCCTTAGAAAATAAGGAAATAAAGATAACAAACTAAGGAAATCACTAAGGTTTATGAGGTACTACGGTTTCCAGATGTTCCCATTGAAAAGTTCAAAACTTCCATGATTCTAAACTTCCACCAATCAATTCACTTTTTTAGAAGAAAACCTTGTACTTATTTGATTACAGTAATATTAGAAGTTTACAGTCCTGAAATCCTAAAATCTTAAAATGCTCTTAAAAACAATTTTTTAAAAAGTAATTTTGTGGCAGACTCATTTGGTGCTAAATCTGGGGAAGATTAACAGAATATTTGCAGTCTCTATTGCCACATTTAGTGGGAATAGCCTTCTGTTTTGTAGCAGAAGTATTCCTACGTTTAATTACAGGCAGAGGGCCTCCACAGACTCCGGTGTGGGCAACTGGCAATCTATAGGAAATACTTCATACTGTCTTTCTAAATTTAAAAATATTCTGAAAACATAAGCCCCGATGAATTTCAAAAAAGACACTGTCAACCCATAAATTGTTTTCCTTAAGTTCGGGGGTATTTATTTATCCTTTAAGGAAGTGAGAATGATTGCTTCTTCCTCCTTCCCTTACAGAGAAAACACAGTGGGGGCAGGGGAGAAGCAAAACAATGTAAATGGCGGCTCTCAGGCTGATGAACTGTAGCTGAAGCTCTTTTGGAGTCTGAAGAGCTGGATACACAATAGGAATCAATCTTTTGAAGCACGGAAACCTAGATCTATACCTCTCCTGCAATTAAAAAAAGAGAGAACAAAAACAAAAAGCAAGTCGCAGATTTCGCTATAGAACTGCATCCGCCTCTTTCAGTTTGCGGCGCCCAGAGCTGAAAAAGGTTTGCTCAGCCCTCTGCGCTGTGACCCGCAGGCCCATAGCGCCACCTTTCTTCCAGATTTGGAATCCAGCCTTCACATTCGGGCTTCACGAAAAAACGGGTTGCTTAAACTGTTCAATCCACAGAGCACAGCAAGGAAACAATTCTTTGACACTCCAGTCATAAAGAAAGAACTGCAAAGGGGCAAAAAAAAAAAAAAAAAAAA